GCAGAACCTTGAAAGTTACAATTTAAACCTTTGAAAACCAAAAAAGAAGACCATAAAGTATTCAGTACCCCCGTGTGTGATGGGGGATATTGCTATACTTGATGTTTTTGTAGGACTAGCTTCAAGGGAGGTGGATTGGCTGTGTATTGGGGGCACTGGGCTAGGCACAAGGTACATCTTGGGCTGAATAATCAAGAAAGTATTTAGACCCCCAGTGAGCTGTTTATGGTGATATATGTATACAGCAGCAGAACGGCAGAGCAACTTTTCCTATGTGAATGGCTTCTAAATTGCCAGTATTGGGACTGGTAAGGTGATCTAGGGGGAGTAGCAAAGTAGCTGTATGTTATAGTGCATGGTCTGGGGGTAGGGAGATGGGGAGAGAGACATGATTACATATGACTGATTACAGTTACTGAAATTACTATGTAATAAAACTGTCAAGATTTTGGAATATAGGCCACATTTGGCACTGTTCTCACTGGCTCTATTAGTTACCCACTTCAAACATTTCAGTAAATGATCATGATCCACATTGTCCTGTAACACAGTATTTAGGTAGACAGGGGAATGGAGGGAGTAGTTATTCACATCATCCTTTTATATTTGGCAGACCACTGTAATGTGTCAACTACAAATCCATGTGATAACCACAGCTGACAAATAATCATGAGCACCTTCCAAAAATATTTTTTCAAGTTAACATGATCAGCTCAGAGATAAGGTTGTCTAGTGTTACCTCATTCCTTTCTGGAGTTAACAAAATTCATTCCTTCAACAAAATACCTCATTTCTTTCTGCATGTTGTGTTCAACAAAATTCAGATCTCTGAAAAATGGGAAATATTGTTCAGGAACATACCAATAACAGTTCTTGGGTCATACCTTTGGAGACCATATAGAACATGCCAGGAGTAAAGTATGTGACAACAGTAGCACTTCTTTTAGTAAGACAAAACTTGGGTTTATTTGAGGTGTACTAAACAGGAGCTATGTCTACCTGTCTGACACTCAAACAATGACCCTGCTATACAAAAAAAATCTAGGTCTGAATTAATGCTATACCCACCCTATCGTTAAGCCTGCAGACTGGCAGGCTTATCCCACTTCGTTGTTAACCATCCTCAGGGTAAGAAGACCCTTTGCACAGTTACTTACAGCCTACTGAAAGGAAGCAGACTGTATTTTTTTCAAATATATGTATACCAATTCTATTACACATCTATAGGAGGATAGTAAACCTCTTGGAGGAATAGTGACCTCCAATCTCCTTTTCACAGTCCTTACCCCTTCAAGCTGCTCCAACTAATCGTCTGGCTCTTAGTACAGGTACATCAAGCACAGTGAATGCAGCTGGAGGCACAGTTTAAGGGTACCCTCATTTGTAACTTAACTCTTTATTTTTAATTTTTTTTTAAGGTTTGAGTTATGTTTGACCTTGCTGCTCTAGAATGGTGCTGTGCAGAGTATCACCAGGCAACCTTCATTTTGTTTTCTCTGAAGGGAGTAGTCAGTTTAAAGCCACAGCAAATGGTTGGTGGAATAGTTTTTGTACCTGGCTTATGTTCAGAATAAGGGTTGGAGGGAGGCACTGAAGAAGGAGAGCCGTAGCCCCTTGAGGGCCCTGTTGGTTCCACTACTGCTTGCGATGGATGCTGCTGGCACATATGGAGCCAGAGGCAGCTGGTCTCCACAGCTGTTTGTAAATATTAAATGTAAAAGAAAACAGTGCAGTTACAGCTGAAGTAAAGCAGGTGAAGTCAGGAGGTGCTACATGTTCTATCTATAATATCCTTTAATTTTAATACTGCTTTACATGAAAAGTAGCACAAACAGAGGGCAGTTCAACACAAGATGTGTGTGGCAGAGCACAGGGTGTCTCTGCCACTTTAAGGGCCTGGAGCTGGCAGCCTCCAGGTGCC